AGCTCATGAAGAAAATGACGCGCCAAGAGTTGAATGGTAAGGCCTGTGATACGGCGAGCTACGGCTGAGAACGCCACGCACGTAGTGAGAAATAACCATATTCCTTTAATCTACTGTAGTTTGGCTGAGATGGTCTGTTTTGGTTGTTACATGCATATGAGATCTCAGTTAAATCAGAGGTGGCGCTGTCAATGCTACCTCGACAATCTGGGGAGCTGTTTGAGATGCTCTGGTACAATCTCAGATCTGAATTCCACTTCTGACAACACCTCGCCTCGACGATCATTTCTTCTTCCTTCTTAGCATTCGGGCAATTCACAAGACAAAAGGTCTCAATACCCACTGGCCTTCGGAAGCCTCGGTAGGCCTCTCACAAATCGATGCTGATGGTTCTAAGATTGCACTCAGATCATGCCCAGGAACCCGATTGGACAATTGCATCGTCGCGATCAGCAACCCAGGGAATAAAAGCCCGAAATAAATACTGGGTTTCAGCTCAAAGACAGGGATTTTCCGCGCCGGTACCCGTTCCGCGGGTACTAAAATGGATCCATCTCCGCGCTATGACTTTGAGATATTCGATCGGGTCGTACCAAAATCTCCGTCGTCCTGCGAGAAGGTGGAGGAACTAACATGCAGGCTGCTGAACGAAGAAGGTGGCTATGGATATTGACAAGGATATTATGAATAATTTCCCTTTTTCTTGTCAAACCTCGGCTGCAGGAAGAAGTTAGGGGAATTTGTCAGGGATTGGTTTTTCGGAGTAACGTTGGCCGATAGCACAGAGGAAGAAAAAGGCGAACCAGGCAGGTTAAATATGCACCTGGTCCTCGTCGATCCTTTATCTAGAGGGGGTCTTTGATCTAAGGGTCCAATTTGTGTCTTGCATTTGCACGTGGTTTCTTATAATGCATTTCTCAAGTAAAGTTTTTGCTGCATTGGCAGCTTGGAGCACCGCAGTCATATGCGCGACAACTCCTTTTGCTCGTAGCGATGCCATTGGGACATGTTCTGAAGACCTGAGTCAACTTGGTAAGAAGTTATCCAAGTCGGCCAAGGTCTACTGTCCTGGATCTGCCGAGTTTGAGAAGGCTACCACTCGTTGGTCCGTTCTGGATGCTCCCAAGGTCAATATTGTTGTCGTTCCTGGTACAGAGCAGGATGTCGCCACGACTGTAAGTGTTTCGTAAATAATCGTTGATGAGAAATGCTAATGACCGCTTCTCAAGGTCAAATATGCCAACTCCAAGAGCCTTCCTTTCCTCGCCTACAACACTGCTCATGGAGCCATCACCACTTTGGGTCGCATGGACCATGGTATTGAGATTTATCTCAGCCAGCTGAACAAGGTCGAAGTCGCTGCTGACGGCAAGACGGTCACAATTGGTGGCGGTACAAGGTCCAAAGAAGTCACCGACACACTTTGGGCTGCCAACAAGCAAACCGGTACGCTTTGAAGTTTTCTTCTTGCCAATGATGACGTGCTAACCGCTGTCAGTGACCGGAACATGCGAGTGCGTTAGCTATATGGGTCCAGGCCTTGGTGGTGGACATGGCTGGCTCCAAGGCCATCATGGTATCATCGCAGATCAGTGGGTCTCGCTCAACATTGTCTTGGCTGATGGATCGTTCAAGACCATCGATAACAAGTCCGATCTTTGGTGGGCCCTCAAGGGTGCTGGTCACAACTTTGGTATTGTGACTTCCATCACCTCCAAGGTGTATGAGATTCAGCACCGAGACTGGGCCATCGAGACACTTGTCTTCGGTGGCGAACACGTTGAGAAGTTGTATCATACCGCCAATGAGCATCTCCTTCGAAAGCAGCCTGAGGGCGTCATCAACTGGTCCTACTGGGTCCATGACCCTACTGCGGACCCCGAAAACGTAAGTTTCTATTCTTCATCCATTGTTTTGGTCTAACGTTAACGTTTGTAGCCTGTCATCCTCTTCTGGCTCATCCAGGAAGGCGTGAAGAGTATCGATCCCAAGATCTCCAAGCCTTTCCACGATCTGAACCCCATTGCCATCTCTCCTGAGTCTGGAGACTACCGTGACCTTGCCAGGTGGACGCAAATCGATGTTGATGCTGCCCCATGCCAGAAGAATGGTCTTGTCAACCCCCGTTTCCCTCTCTACCTTCAGGAGTACAATGTCTCCGCTATGAAGAACGCATGGGATCTCTTTGCCAAAGAGACAGGTCGTAACACTCCTTTCAACACTTCGATCTTCATGTTTGAGGGGTACTCCACCCAGGCCGTTCGAGGCACTGATGCCCAGAGTGCTGCTTTCGCCTTCCGACAACAGAATATCCTTACTGCTCCCTTGATCACATACAAGCCTGGAGATTCTGAAATCGACAAGAAGGCTGCCGCTGTCGGTAATGAATTGCGTCATATCCTCCATAGAGCTTCTGGTCAGTACCACATGAGCGTCTATGTTAACTACGCTTTTGGCAATGAAGATCCAATCAGCTGGTATGGAAAGGAGAACTGGCGACAAGAGCGTTTGAAGAGTTTGAAGAACAAGTATGACCCCAAAGGAAAGTTTAGTTTCTTTGGTCCCGTGGCATAAGGGACGACTTGCCTTTAAAGTCAGGAGCTGAGGCGTCGTCTCCATATCTTCGTCTATCCATAAATCATATTTAATCTTACATAGTAACCATTCATCTATATTGTCCGAATCACTGCTGGTGTTCATTCTCTCTATCATCGGTGTACTTGTGTTTCTCTTACCATGAACGGAGCCAGCGGCTTCAACATGCTTTTCTGTCAGTCTGCGACCATAGAACCGTACAACCAAAGCCTGTGCGCAAAATGTTCGTTTTTGGTTGGTAAGATAAGCGCTTGCCCAACTCACAACTTGTCATGCCAGGTAGCCAAAGGTGAAAATAAGATCTTGCGCCAGGAATGATGACCAAAGCGCTTCAAATCCTGCCGCCAACTAAGAATCGGCCCCCAACCAGGATGCAAGACTGCAGTTTCCTGGCCATCTTGGGGGCCAAACAATGAAACTGATAAGATCAAGCGCCCGACAATCTGAGATACTCCAGACCTCGATCAACCAAAGATCAACGGGAACAATCGGGGGTAGACATGGTTGCCTTGATGCATATAAGATTTGAAATAAGGCTGGCGCTTACAAGGCTTAACTCGTACCAGAGCCCGGACCTTCTGCTACTAAAAACGGGAATAAGGCCTGATCAGGCTAAGCGATTCTGATCCTTCAAGCCGTTGTACAGGGTTTAGTGGTCAGCAGAGAAATTTATTGGTCCTCGCTGTAAGATGTATGGATAAGGTGTTTCCATAAGCAAAAAAGCTGAAGGAAACCCTGCATCTTCATTTGGGGGCCGTATTGATGTCGAAAATAAACAGAGTAGCATTGAGAATCTCGCTGCATTACTTCAGTGTGAGGGAAAGGCTTTTTTTCTTGAGTCTTTTGGAGTGCCAAGTTGTCAGCGTAGCATTTGTCTCAGGGTAGTGGTGGATGAGGTTGAAAAAAGCACAAATTTTGCGCCTTATGAGGACGTTGTCTCCTGTTCAAGACGCCTATATAACTGCGCGCCATCAAAGATGTGAACGCGTGTTTTCTGCCTTTCGTTATTATCAGTGTAGGCTATTCGGGTACCTAGAGAATCCTCGCAATCTTTCCAGAGACCAAGGGACGACGTCCTCGTCAAGATGTTCAGGTTAGTTCTTCCAGCCCTATCACATTTGACTCTCCCCACTTCATCTTGGCAGCATCCTCCTTCGGCAATCTCAAATTCCAGGCACTAACAACATGGAATTAGCAGTCAAAAACCCAAAAAGCCAGTTGCTGGCAACAAAGGCCCAGCTGCTCCCGCACAACGCCCTCCGGCCGGACGACCTCCAGCTGGCCGACCCGCCCAGAGATCTGCTCAACCTGCCCAACGACCTCAGCCCGCTCAGCGACCTGTTCAACGACCGGCCGGCTATCAACCGGCGACGGCTCCGAGACCAGTCGCGGGTGCTCCTGTTGTCGGAAGACAGCCTGCTCCCAACCATGGAATGCAGATGACCCAGATGAAGAAACCGCAACAAGCTGCGCGTCCTCCAGCCAAGAAGCCAGCTCCTTCTCAAGGACATAAGGCTGGACCACCAAAAGGCCACGCTCCGCAAGGTGGAAGCCGGCCAGTCCAAAGGGCTGGACCTGCACCAGTTCAAAGCTACCATCCCGGCCATCCCCAACAGGCTCACCCCCAACAAAGCCACAAGAGCTCGTCAAACATGAAGTATGCAGCTGGGGGTGCTGTCGCTGGCGCAGCTGGTGCAGGAGCAGCCATGTACTTCCTAAACAACGACTCGAACGAGCCCACTTACGTTATCAACAACTACGACAACAGTCAGGGCCCAGAGAACATCACTTATACTCGGTACAACCAATATGAAGGTGACTACATAGACAATGAAGACTATCGGTATGACAGCGATGGTGATCGTCAATACTCTCCAAACAGTCCAGACGGTGACAACCGCTACTACGATAATAATCACGACCAGTACGGTAATGACACAAACTACGGCAACCAATACGACAATGATCAGGTAGATACGTCGTATGATGCCACAAGGTACCAACAACCAAGTGACCAGCAAAATGGGGGTGACAATGGCAACGATGACTGTTGTGGCTGCGACAATTGCTGCGAATGCGATAACTGTTGTGACTGCGATGGCTGTTGCGGGTGCTGCGGTGATGACAACGGCAAGGACGGTGGCGGTGGATGCGTTGTAATGTAATGTGTCTGGGAATAGAGTAATGACGGGTTCTACTGTACACGGTAATTACAGATTAGCGATCATTTAATTTTGATGATATTTGTTTAATGGCTCGTGCGGGTCTAGGGTGAGACCAGGACATCATAATAAAGAAGCAAAAGAATATCGAATCGCATGGCGTATACCAATGGTAGCAATCGACAAAGTGTATATGAATGATGTTTTCATGTTGGGAAGAAGAGGTAAAAATGACAAAAGTTTTGTCCGCTGTGAGGTTCGAACTCACGACCTTTGGATCACTCTAATCTAAGATTAGATCACAATCTAATATGAGACCAACGCTCTAACCAACTGAGCCAAGCAGACTATCCTAATTAGGTACCAGTTGAAGCTTCGTTGGTATTAATCAACGGAATCGAGTACCATTCTCTGCAAGTGCCAGAGTGTCAGTGCAACACCAATAGAGGATTATCTGTTTACCCAGTCTGGATATCTAAGTCGAGATTCATTAATGGGTTACCATTGGTGCATAGATATAATAACATTAACAGTAGTAAAAGAGGTTCGCCTAGCCATTGGAACATGCTGGGACCTGGGGACACATGGAACGAGTGACTTACATAAAAGCACCAGGTAATCATTAAGAAAGTAACTATTATGCAACCAAAGTTTTCCCATGCCTGATATCTCCTGAAATTAAATCCCAGACCTAACCTCTGACGCCTTGCTTTCAAACCGTATCTCACTGGAAGTCCTCGACTCCGACACAGTAGCCTTTGAAGCATTCTCATATGCAACCTGAACATTCGTAGTACGCATAATGCCATTATATGTCATGATCTCTTCCTCGGATCCGGTCGGCGAAACACTACGAATCTCAGTATGTTGAGTTCGCGAAACCCGAAGGTCTTTTAGACGAATATCATCGTGGTTATGTGATCGCATTCCACCTGTCCCGCGGGAGTTGTTGGCATATCGGCCGCCGTATGGAGTTCCAGATGGTGCGTCTGAGCTTCCTCCAAAGAGAGCAGGGAACCATCGTCGGAAAAGCGGTCGGAGAGCGGGGACCGACGCGCAGATGATGGCAAGGTTCGTTTCGACGGCGCCCCAGACGGGAAGGACAGAGTAGAAGGTGTCTTCGCCGGGTTTCGGTCCCTCGACGAGTTGGTGATAGATGGAGATGACACGGATGATGCCGATGATACCGACTCTAGGTAATATCAGTATCAATCTCGCGAAGCTGTAGGCGCTACTTACACGCTACCCAACAAAAACACACTCAGAACAGCAATCTTGGTCGCCCATCGCATGGTCAAGCCAAGGAAGATCCAGAAAGGGAGCGCAACGACCAGGAAGTCTGTCACGATTGTGATGCAAGAAGCAATGACATGGAACCAGTTGTTGACACAATGAACGCCAGGTTCCTTTCGCAGGGGAAAGTCCCAATTGGCCTCAATGGGCCAGCATTGGAAGAGGGCTGTGAAGAAGATGGCGACGGCGTGCGCAGCATTAAAGATGTTGAGCCCGTATATGGCGTATCGGACGTTGGTTTTATGACCACCCAAGCGAAGGAGAAATACTAGAATCGAGGCCTTGACGAGTGCCAAGACGGGATTGTAGAACATCTGCACGAGAAAGTTCCACCAGAAGCCAGCGGCAAGATTGAGGTCTTTTGGGACATCTCGCTCGTGGAATCCCCAGTAGTTGAGCTTCATAACTGTATAATTGTCAGCAAAAGGGTTGCTCTTATGCAACAAGATTCAAGTCCACGTACACATGTAAAGGGGTCCAATCATCATCAAAGCAAAGAACTGTCGATATTAGACAAAGACCCAGAGATTGAAATGTATCAAACTTACCAAAGCGGCCAGCACGAGCCAGTCATCTATCAAAGATAAGCTTTCGGTATTGATTGCACTGACCATGAGAGAGACTCACCTAATCCAACTGTCCGTGAGGTCACACGACTGTACATACGCATAGACACAATGATGATCGATAAAGCCGGAAAGACGAAAAGAGCAGCTAGGCCCTTTTGCTGAAGAGGAGTCGTAGGAAGACTCAAAGGATTAGGATAAGGCGGCGGCCCTGTTCGAGTGTAGAGATTTAATGAGGCCATCTTGAATGTCAAACCAACATAAAAGAGATAGTATGTCAAAGGTATGATGGTGCAGAGTTTGCACCATGGGACGTCAAGCGACACTAGAAAGATTGACACAGACTCGATGTGACCGCTGATCCGGGCGAAGACGGCCGCTGCGATCGATCGTCGCTCTGTATGTACATGTAACAGGACGAACCAGGGGGGAACCGCTGTTACGGTATTGGCACAAGATGAAGACGATCGCTTAGATGGGGCCCTTCAGATTTATGTATAGTAGATATCCAGGGGAACCCAGCAACGCAGAATCTTTCACGAAGAACGCGGAGACCAATAAAATAGGATGAGAAACAGAGTTCATGAGGATTGTCACCCAAGTGACCCAACATGGTCAGCATGGTCCGTGGTTTGGGAGCTGAACCACCATCTTGGTGCTTCGAGTAAGACGAGTTCCTGGTTCCTGGATTGCACAATACAGCGTTGTTCATGAACGATTACGAAAGGGGAAAGTGATTGCCGGCATATCTCAGTGCGTCTGGTTCTGGAATCAAGGAATTGTGTGTCAACTACCGGTGATTCAGCTACTTGTGTCACACGTCCCGTGTGCGGTTGGACTGAAGGGCTGCTAAGGTTTTCTGTGCCGCAGAGACTCCCGGTACGATTTCCGGTGTTCCGCCAAGAACGCGTATATGTTTCCCCCTCAGCTGTGTTTTCGATCATTCATGTTGGTTGTTGAAGAATCCAAAGTAGAAATGATGGAACATTGTGGCTTGCAACTAAGCAGGCGTTGATGCCCAAGGCTTCCGGTGGTGGCTGAAACTAGGCTGTCAACAACTTGTTTTCCGGACGAGGCATGACGCCTTCGCTAGATCCTGCTGGAAGCTTCCCACATTGCTCATTTCGATACGGCATACGAACTACTCGTTCTGATGTCTTCAAGCATTATAAATTGGGAGGGTGAACTAATATCGTTAACCCAGAGCAACGGTTGGGTGATTTGTGATTAGGCTCAGGCTAGATCTCTTAGCATTTCCATCAAAGGTGAAGATCAGCATTCGCGCGATTTTTCTTCAACAATCTCGAAGGACCAACATGCATATGCATGAATGAACGTAGCATGCATCTCTAAGGGATGGATGATGGCTGGACCCTGAGCATGTTTTAACCGAGTACCGCTAAGGACCAGGGGAGCAAGAAACTCGGGACTCCGATTCTAAGTGACAAAAATGCTTAGGCCACTTTAGGATGAACTTAGGCAACTTCAGTATAACTTAGACAAGTTTTGACCGGTTATTTATCGCACCTTGAATGATGGCATCGGGCTTTTTTTGCTTCCCAGGGCTTGAGGTCCTCTACTGCCCCTCTAGCTCCATCCCCAAGGCACTACCGAGATGCTCACATCTACCCCGGATCCCCGACCCTTGCCAAGCTTCCCAACCAGTCGTAAGGCCCGGAAGGCTGAACGATGATCCTTCGGTTGTCTCAGCTAAATGATAATCCGTTGATCCTTTCTCCATGCAGATTATCATCATCTTTTAGCACGATATTTATGAAGCCGATCCCACTCTGACAAAGATTCTCAACCAACAGCCGCTTAAAATTGAGTTCTCGCTTCACTTAATCACCAGGATCATGAACTTTGTCGGTGTTGAATGCCCAGCCTGTATAATTTGTCCGTCCGCGGGGTCCCGCTCCAATCATGTTTAGAATGTGTCATGGACTATTCTAGTCTGACGGGAAGCGGCTTCGACCCGAAGGCTCGCCAATTGATGTTTATGCATAATGTAACAGTTATTCTACGCCAAGCTTAGAAATCGACCATCATTTCCACATATAGAGGGACTCTTGACCCTTGGAGCGACGAGAAGCCGCATCCCCGCGGCGGCTGAAAGAAATGGCGCCAGTGGGATGGAAAGCGCCCGCACAATCGGCACAGATTTTGACAGGAAATTGGGGTTCAGATGCTTCCGATATGTAGGGCATTCTCTCCTCTCAACGGCAATGCCTCGCGGCTCTTACTCCACCGTCGCCACCGCACTCCATCGTCAAGCATGGATATCTTTCGGCCCATGAACCTATGCATCAAGGTGATTACTACCTAATACGTGCTAAACACCGCCTAGCCAACGACAACTCGCGTATTTCCTGTAGGATTGCAGTAGTAACATAAGAACTAGTGTTCGATATATAGACGGCACAGAAAGCCATGTGGCATAAGCCGATCGCTCCCCTTTCCCTCTCTTTCCTCCCCCAACCCTCTTGAGTCCTTGGCGTTCTGTCCCGTCCCTGCAGCCAGCCTCAAAACTCTACAAGATGCAAGGCTCTCACATTTCGTGGCTGCTTGCCGCGCTTGTTCCTTTCACCCTTGGTCAGACGATCGAAGTCGATGGCAAGACGGTCCGTACGTAACACCTTCGCCTGCAGAACCTGTTTTTCTTTTGCTCTCATGAACCATCGCTAATCTGAAACGTGGGGTAGCCGCCAACGAGAAGAATGTTGCCCCTGCGTGGTCTGAGCCACCGGCTGCATCGTCGAGGTATTCTTTTGTCGATGATACCCCTCGGCTGACCGATGCCGTGCTCACCAACCTCACGGACCTCAACCTCAGTGACGTTGACCTTTTCTACTTTGCTGATACCAAGGGTTCCAAGAAGAGATCTGCTGCTGTCGACTCCAAGTGCAAGGTCTTCCCTGGTGACAAGCTTTACCCCAACAAACTCATCTGGAAGGTCTTCGACCTCCTCAGCGGAGGTGCCCTTATCAGCACAGTTCCCCTTGGCTCAGCCTGCTACAAAGGAGAGCATTATGACGAGGAGAAGTGCCAGTACTTGCTAGCCAACTGGCATAACAGCACGACACAGTGAGTTTCATCCTCGACCATGCCGTCTCATACATGCATCAAACTAACACCGTCAAGCATCGATGATCCCACTTCGGTCATGTCACCCCTCTTTGAGGGTGCCACCTGTGAGCCTGAGAACGCCGCTTCCGGCTCCAAGTGCACCATTGGTGGCTTCCCCTTGTACTCCATCAAGGCCACCTGTGTTGCCCATATCCAACTCGCCGTCAACTTTGCTCGCAACCTCAACCTCCGTCTTGTCGTTCACAACACTGGCCATGACTTCCTTGGCAAGAGCACCGGTGCTGGTGCCTTGAGCATCTGGACACATCACCTCAAGGATATCAAGTTCACCAAGAACTACCGTGGTGCTAGCAGCTACACTGGCCCTGCCTTCAAGATTGGTGCCGGTATCCAGGTCAAGGA